TCGAAGTTGTTAATGTTTAGAAGGGGAATCCCCTTCCAATAGGACTTGAGGTAGCAAGTCCTTTTCTGGGGTTACTTCCCTTCTTCTTTTAATGCCACTAGGACCAGCTTGAGAGTCACTGTCAGCCTCACCATGCCTAATCACACTATGTATGCCACTATGATTCTTAAATCTTTCAAACCAACCTTTGCTGGCCTTAAATTCACTCACATCACCACTAGTTGCAGGCAATTTCTTTACCAAATCGTCATACAACTGCCTAGCCTTTTCACAAAGGATCGCTTGAGAGATGCTATCTCCTGCTATCTGTTTTTCATTTATCCACATCAATAACAGTTTCTCAACATCTAACACTTGCAGTTGCTGTTTCATAATCACAGTTGCACCTTTTGCAACAACAGCTTCCTTGATTGCCGTTTTCCTGCTCACTATAGTAGAGATGGTTGATTGGGGTTTACTATACAACCTGACCAGCTCCGACACACGCACTCCACTTTCGTACTTTGCAATTATCTCTTTCCTCATTTCAATAGTCATTAGCACCCTTGGTCTCAAAGGGTTGGCACTAGAAGCTTTCTTGGGGCCCATGGTGACTTATTTTGCAGAAACAAGCACCAAAAACAGTGATAATATGGATAATATTGAATGTACCGAATGTATCCTTAGATGTGCACACACTGGCTGGCTTGTAAACCCTGGACACGTCTCGTACGAATCGTATCGCATACCGGGTTTTGTAACAGGAAGTGAGGCAAATTTTTTGCAGTCAAATGCAGCGGCTACCGGATTTAGCGGATACAGATAGCATGGCGAACCAGGGGTCCACTGTAAAGTGGACCCTCGGTTATTGGCCATAATCCGTTCCAGAAGGTCAGCCAAAAACCTAAATAATGTTTCCCATAAGAATTAATGGGAATACAATTAATCCGTTACAAGCAAAAATATTCACACACAAAAAAATTGTTTTAACAATTATATAAATATTACATACCTTTATTGAAGACTAATGCTGGCTTCTGGAAAACAGGGAGGAGGAAAAAGGGAGAACTTATTGTTTGGAAGGGAAATCTCCTTCCATAAGGATCTCAGGTACCAAGTCCTTATCTGGGGTTACTTCCCTTCTTGGTCTTTTAATGCCACTAGGACCAGCTACACTCCCTGCATGCCTGCTACACTCCCTGCATGCTTGCTACACTCCCTGCATGCCAGCTACACTTCCTGCATGCCTGCTACACTCCCTGCATGCCTGCTACACTCCCTGCATGCCAGCTACACTCCCTGCATGCCTGCTACACTTCCTGCATGCTTGCTACACTCCCTGCATGCTTGTTACACTCCCTGCATGCCTGCTACACTTCCTGCATGCCTGCTACACTCCCTGCATGCCTGCTACACTCCCTGCTTGCTTGCTACACTCCCTGCATGCCTGCTACACTTCCTGCATGCTTGCTACACTCCCTGCATGCCTGCTACACTCCCTGCATGCCTGCTACACTCCCTGCATGCTTGCTACACTCCCTGCATGCCAGCTACACTTCCTGCATGCCTGCTACACTCCCTGCATGCCTGCTACACTCCCTGCATGCCTGCTACACTTCCTGCATGCCTGCTACACTTCCTGCATGCCTGCTACACTTCCTGCATGCCTGCTACACTCCCTGCATGCCTGCTACACTTCCTGCATGCCTGCTACACTTCCTGCATGCCTGCTACACTTCTTGCATGCCTGCTACACTTCTTGTATGCTTGCTACACTTCCTGCATGCCTGCTACACTTCTTGCATGCCTGCTACACTTCTTGCATGCCTGCTACACTTCTTGCATGCCTGCTACACTTCTTGCATGCCTGCTACACTTCTTGCATGCCTGCTACACTTCTTGTATGCTTGCTACACTTCCTGCATGCCTGCTACACTTCTTGCATGCCTGCTACACTTCTTGCATGCCTGCTACTTTTCTTGCATGCTTGCTACACTTCCTGCATGCCTGCTACACTTCTTGCATGCTTGCTACACTTATTGCATGCCTGCTACACTTCCTGCATGCCTGCTACAATTCCTGCATGCTTGTTACACTTCATGCATGCCTGCTACACTTCCTGCATGCCTGCTACACTTCTTGCATGCTTGTTACACTTCCTGCACGCCTGCTACACTCCCTGCATGCCTGCTACAATTCCTGCATGCTTGTTACACTTCCTGTATGCCTGCTACACTTCCTGCATGCTTGCTACACTTCCTGCATGCTTGTTACACTTCCTGAATGCTTGCTACGCTTCCTGCATGCTTGCTACACTTCCTGCATGCTTGCTACACTTCCTGCATGCCTGCTACACTTTCTGCATGCCTGCTACACTTCCTGCATGCCTGTTACACTTTCTGCATGCCTGATACACCCCTTGCATGCCTGCTACACTTCCTGTATGCCTGCTACACTCCCTGCTTGCTTGCTACACCTCCTGCATGCTTACTACACTCATAGCATCTCTGCTACACTCCCTGCATGCCTGCTATGTTCCCTGTATGTCTGCTACACTTGCTGCATGCCTGCTACACTTCCTGCATGCCTGGTACACTTCTTGCATATCTGCTACACTTCCTGTATCCCTGCTACACTCCCTGCATGCTTGCTATACTTCCTGCATGCCTGCTACACTTCCTACATGCTTACTACACTCCCAGCATGCCTGTTACACTCACTGCATGTCTGCTACACTCCCTGCATGCCTGCTACACTTCCTGCATGTCTGCTACACTTCCTGGATGCCTGTTACACTCCCTGCATGCTTTTTACACTTCCTGTATGCCTGTTACACTTCCTGCATACCTGCTACACTCCCTGCATGCCTGCTACACTTCCTGCATGTTTGGTACACTTCCTGTATGCCTGCTTCACTCCCTGCATGCTTGCTACACTTCCTGCATGCCTACTTCATTTCCTGCATGCCTACTACACTCCCAGCATGCCTGCTACACTCCCTGCATGCCTGCTACACTCCCTGCATGTCTGCTACACTCCCTGCATGTCTGCTACACTTCCTGCATGCCTGTTACACTCCCTGCATGCTTGTTACACTCCCTGCATGCTTGCTACACTTCCTGCATGCTTGCTACACTTCCTACATGGCTGCTACACTTCCTGCATGCCTGCTACACTTCCTGCATGTCTGCTACACTCCCAGTATGCCTACTACACTCCCAGCATGCCTACTACACTCCCTGCATGCCTGCTACACTCCCTGTGTGTCTGCTACACTCCCTGCATGTCTGCTACACTTCCTGCATGTCTGCTACACTTCCTGCATGCCTGTTACACTCCCTGCATGCCTGTTACACTCCCTGCATGCTTGCTACACTTCCTGCATGCTTGCTACACTTCCTGCATGCTTGCTACACTTCCTGCATGGCTGCTACACTTCCTGCATGCCTGCTACACTCCCTACATGTCTGCTACACTTCCTGCCTACTTGCTACACTTGCTGCATTCCTGCTACACTCTCTGCATGCCTTCTACACTTCACACTTAAATTACATGGTGTTTCTCACCTTCTTTACCACAGGAACTTTCTTTGGAGCCATGGTTACTTATTTCACAGTTGCACTGCCAAAATAACAAACTACAATGGGAAATAAGCAAAATGTTTGGATGTATGAGCAGAAGCTTCCTCAGCCACTGAGAGACACACCCAAGACTGATGCGCAAGCGGCCCCAGCCGGCTGACGAACGCATCTCGAACAATCGATCACCAAATTAACGGCCGATAACCGGGTGCCGGAAAACCAGCCGATCACTGAGTTGGCCGATAACAGAAGCGGCCGATAAACTGGGTCCACTGTATAACTACAGTAGTCCCCCCCATATCCGTGGGATATACATCCCAAGACCTACCATGGATACCAAAAATTGTGGATAGTAGCAAACCGAATACAAAGTTGTTTTTCATTTATGTACATACCTATTATAAAGTTTGATTGATAAATTATGCACAGTAAGTTGAGAATTAGCACATTTTCAATTATGGGAAGCACTTCATAGCTTTTCTTAGGGTTTCAAGAACTGCCACCATCACTACTGTTGTGCTTTGGTGGTGTTATTAAATAAAATTAAGGCTTATTTTTGGACCACGGTAAACTGCGGATAACTGAAACCATGGAAACCATAGCCACACACATGATGGCTCTACTGTATTGTAATAGTGAAGGGAAAAAAACTTTCCAAACCTAAATCCCTGGCATTAGAAAAGTTTTTGTATGACTGGTTTCAAGAAAAAACCTGAAGGCAAGTGTTTTCAGTCTGATGTGTGAATAAATTTTTCTATTTTTAGGACAAAGAGTTATAATTGAGCACATGGTTGTGTATATCATTATGTTAAGCCAGACACTCAGCCATGTCTGCCATCAGCATGGTTGTGTATATCATTATGTTAAGCCAGACACTCAGCCATGTCTGCCATCAGCATGGTTGTGTATATCATTATGTTAAGCCAGACACTCAGCCATGTCTGCCATCAGCATGGTTGTGTATATCATTATGTTAAGCCAGACACTCAGCCATGTCTGCCATCAGCATGGTTGTGTATATCATTATGTCAAGCCAGACACTCAGCTATGTCTGCCATCAGCTTTCAGCAGTACACACACCACTGTAATTATTATCCACTTATTTAGGAAACCACCCCCCTTCAGCAGAGTCCTTGACCTGGCGAAGGGCTCTTGATTCAAGGAATCAGAGTATATCTCTTCACTCAGATAAAAGTCTGATTACTTCCACTTCTTAGGCACTGTACAACCTTCAAAGTCTTGCTCTGCCCCATTAATGAATAATATATCATTTAACAAGAGCTAATAATATCTGTTGGCAACAGATTGCACATCATTTATTTTATTGGAACAAAACTAGATATATAAAGTGGATCAAGTCCTGACCATTTCTGATAATTGGAGCACCTATATTACAAATGTCTCTTCTTCTTTTTTTTTCTTTTTTTTTTTTTTTTTTAGTCAAATCGTATCTACCAGCTGAGCTTCAAGTGACAGCACCCAAAGGCTCCACCAAGGTACTGACTGGTGTTGCCAAGAAGACAGCAACCATCACTTTGGTGAAACCTGCAGTAGTGAATAAACAAAGACCAGAAGACAGAGTAGAGGTTAGTATTATTATTATTATTAGTATTATTACTTGTAACCTCCCTTAATTTTACTGGTTGTACTACTTGTTAACTTTTGTTGCCATTTTTGCCTCACATCCCGTATACTTGTGCCAGAGTGCTTGGTTATCAGTTTATTGACAAGTTTATATCTTACCATAATAGATGCTTGTTATTGTGCTTGTGTAGGAACATTGGGTATAGTGTCATTTTACTTTAGGTACAGTATGTAGGCTTCAGTGATAGAACATACAGTGGACCCTCAGTTAACGATATTAATCCGTTCCAGAGAGCTTGTCCTTAACTGATTTTATTGTCATCCGAATCAGTTTTCCCCATAAGAAATAATGAAAATCCAATTAATCCGTTCCAGACACTCAAAAGTATTTAAAAAAAAAAATATTTCACATGAAATATTCATTTTCCTACACAGAAAACAATGAGACATGCAGAATAAATACATTAATAATTCATAAAATGACACTTACCTTTATTGAAGACTTAGTGATGAGATGGGAGGAGGGGAGAGGATGGAGATGTATTATTGTTTGGAAGGGGAATCCCCTTCCAAAAGGACTTTTGGTAGCAAGTCCTTTTCCAGGGTTACCTCCCTTCTTCATTTTTTAATGCCACTAGGACCAGCTTAGGACTCACAGGACCCCTGTCACACCAAAAATCTGCCCAGAGAGCTCTGTTTCTGGCGTGTCTTTAAGATTTCCCTAAAATGGGACACAACATTGTCATTGTAAAAGGCACCAGCACGGCTTGCAACAGCTGTGTCAGGGTGATGTTCATCCATAAAGGCTTGCACCATTGTCCACATTGTACAAATGTCCTTAATCGTTGAAGAAGGCAACTTCCTCCATCTCCCTTTCCCTTCCTCTGAAGCAATTTCCTCAGCTGTGGTCTGTTGCTATTGCAGATGAAGCTCTTGCAGCTCATCAGTGGTTAGCTCTTCATCGTCATCCTCCATCAACTCTCCCACATCCTCGCCACTAACCTCCAACCCCATGGACTTCCCCAATGACACAATAGATTCCACAACTGGTATAGGCTCCTCAGGGTTAGCCCCAAACCCTTCAAAATCCCTCTCTTGTACACATTCTGTCCATAATTTTCTCCAAGCAGAGTTCAGTCCTGCAAGTCACTCCCTCCCTTGCCTATAAAGTTTATGCAACTGAGGATACTGAAGTGATCTTTCCAGAACTCTCTTAGGGTCAGTTCAGTGTCTGAGGTCACTTCAAAGCACTTTTGAAACACTGCTTTGGTGTACAGTTTTTTGAAATTTGAAATGACCTGCTGGTCCATGGGCTGGAGGAGAGGAGTGATGTTAGGAGGCAAAAATTTCACTTTGATGAAACCAAACTCCGCCACAATTTGCTCTTGCAAGTCTGGAGGATGAGCAGGAGCATTGTCTAATATGAGGACGCACTTGAGTTCCAATTTATTTTCCAGGAGGTATTTTTTCACACTGGGGCCAAACACTTGATAGAATCAATCGAGGAAAATGTCCTTAGTGACCCATGCCTTACTGTTTACCCTCAACATCACACAAATTAGGCTTGACGACACTGTTTTTCTTGAACACACTGGGAGCTTCAGAGCGATACACCAGTAAAGGCTTCACTTTGCAATCCCCACTAGCATTACAAAACATGAGAGTTAGCCTGTCTTTCATAGGCTTGTGTCCTGGGAGTGCATTTTCCTACTGAGTAATGTAGGTCCTCTTTGGCATTTTCTTCCAAAACAGGCCTGTTTTGTCACAGTTGAACACTTGTTGGGGTTTTAATTTTTCAGCCTCTATGTACCCCTTAAAGTCCTGCACATATTTTTCAACCACTTTTTTTTGTCAGAACTGGTAGCCTCACCATGCCTTATCACACTGTGTATGCCACTACAATTCTTAAATCTCTCAAACCAGCCTTTGCTGGCCTTAAATCCATCAATATCAGCACTAGTTGGAGGCATTTTATTAATGAGATCTGCATGCAACTTCCTTGCCTTTTCACATATAACTGACTGAAACACTACCTCCTGATAATTGTTTCTCATTGATCCACACCAACAAGTCTCTCCACATCTTCAAATATTTGCGATCTCTGTTTTGTAACCACATTTTCACCTTTTGCAACAACAGCTTCCTTGATTGCCTTTTTGTTGGCCAAGATAGTAGCAATGGTTGATTGGGGTTTGTTATACAACCTGGCCAGCTTGGAGGCACGCACTCCACTTTCGTACTTTGCGATTATCTCTTTCTTCAATTCAATAGTATTTTTCACCCTTTTTACCACAGGCTTGGTACTAGAAGCTTTCTTTGGGCCTGTGGTGGCTTATTTAGCAGTTACAAGCACTAAAAACAATGGAATAATACAAAATGTATCGCATGTATGCATGAAATCGTCCACACTGGCTTGTAAAGAATGGCACACTGGCCACACTGGAGTGGCCGGGTGGCCCGGGCGGCTCAGGCCGTGCAGACACGTTCTGGACGAATGTCCTTAACTGAGTTTTTTGTCATTAGCCGAGTCAATATTTTGACGCAAAAAAGTATTGTTATCCGATTTTATCGCCATCTGATGGCATCATTAACTGGGGGTCCACTGTATCTGAAAACAGGAATGTATTGCAGCATTAGTAATTTATCTTTTATAATCTTGGCAACTTTTGGTAACTGGCCTGGTAACTGAAAAAAAAAATACATGATTATGTGTTTCATGGTGTTTGACATGAGCTGTTGCATTGTTTACAATATTGGGTCCATATGATAGATATTCAGTTACCTAAGTAAAACTTTTTATTAGTAGTATTTCTTTTATTTTATTTTTACTGGAAATGAACAAGTGCAGTTTACACTCAGAATTAATAAATATTATATAATGATATAAAATTCAATCAAATTACTGCAATAGATTTTATTTGAGTTGATAAGATACCTAATACCAAAAGTTGGTTGTGATATCTGGGCTGTTAGTAACAGCAGGCCTCGTAGCACCAAACGTAAAGATTAAGAGAAAGCTTCATAATGATTGAACACTTGCTATAGTATAGGATCCTTTCTGAAACCCAGTGTTGAAAGTGATACTATCTAACACCATATTGGTAGTGAGGCTTATAGTATCTGGGACATAATGACTGTATGCCTTGTGTTGTTGCTTTTCATGCTATCCAAGGATAATGTAACTACAAGCAGCAGCATAGACCTGCCAGTAATGAAAGAGGTCAAGGTAAATTGACGTTTTCCACACACACATGCATCCCGTAAATAATTTCTCCGCATCATTTCATTGCCTTATAACCTTTACCATCTCCATTCTATTGCACATATCACATTCCTTCAACATTTATCACCATACGTACTGTGTTGTTATTGCACACCCATTCTTCACCTCTCACAGAGCACCTGCTGAGTGCACTTACCCCTTCCATAGAACAGTAACAAAAACTAACTCAGTGTCATAAAATAAAATAGCATCCTCAAATATTTTAAGGATAATGACATTCATAGGTTGGGAAAAGGATTTTTATTTATTGAATAAATTTTTTTGTTTTTAATTTTTTTTCTAAGTAAATGTTAAAGCAAATATGAATTGCAGATTATTATTTTAGATGTGGAGTTGCCATAGTTTTAAACTTTTGTAAATAGCATTACAGTGATTAAGGAAAGTAACACATTAGGGCCCCACTTATACGGCGGGTTAGGTTCCAGGCTACTGCCGAAAAGCAGACATCACCGGAAAGGAAAACGCCATTTTTTTTCCACTTATAAATGCATATAAATGCCAGATAACAAGTTTACACTAATGTATATTAAGTTAGCAATAGAACTAGGCATTAAAAAACAATAAAAAGTAAAATACACACACAGTACACTCATTATTTACCTCAAAATATTCGTAGTCTTAATGTAGGGCAAAAGGTGAGTAGCATTTACTATAAGAAGTTAGGTGTGGTAGCCCTCCTGGCCGCCACCACCACCCACACATAATATACTATGATGATGCTTAAAGCTCCATAGAGTGATAAAATGCATATACAGTACACTTATCACTTACCTTAAAAGTATTTATTTGTAGAAAGTCATGTGGTAGGTAGGGTAGTGTAGGGAAGCCTGCCTGGCCACCCCACCCACTATGTAAACAAACAGATGATGCGTCTGGTTATGGTTCATAAACATTCATACAAACACCTTACATTGTGTACAAGTTGTCTCCACAATGGCACAGTAGAATAAATAAAGACCAATACTTCCATTCTCATGTAATTTTTAGAAGGAATGATGCTCTGACAAATTATTATTACAAATTGTTATTTTTAAAAGTTTTTTTTTTTCAACAAGTCGGCCGTCTCCCACCGAGGCAGGTTATTACAAATTATTATTGCAAGTTATTATTATTATGATCATAATAGAAAGAAGCACTAAACCCACAAGGGTTTGAATTGCTATATATAGAGTGAAGGCATACGAAAGGAATATTTATCTACAGTTATCCCCCACTGTTTGACTAGAGAAAACATAATTCTTCCAACACTCCTACAGAGCCTCTTTGTAAACAAATCTCATATTTATGTCAATTTTTATTCTGTGGGTGTATGTATAATGTTTATATGCTATGTAGCGTGTTTCTTAAATAATTTTGAGGAAAATATCATAGGTGGATTAATGAAAATGCCTATATTAACATAAAATAAAACATTTAATGTGCCCAAGAGAGATTATTATTACGTAGTATTACTATGGCTTCATGAGTAGAGAGACTCATAGTGATTTTAATGTGTATCTACACGCCAGCACAGTGTGTAAGTATATTTAGGTACTGGTACACATAAGCATAATTATCAGAGTACATACAAAATACACAGTAACTTTAAAACACTTGAAATTTTGGAAGGTTTCCAGACATGATAGATGTGCTCATGGAGAATGTAAACAAACCAGATGGGGTACGCCGTATTTGAGAGACCGCTTGCCGTATAGCAGATTTTGGCCATAATTTGAAATCGCCATATTAGCGGAACGCCGTAAGGCGAAATGCCGTAAAGCGGGGCCCTAATGTATAGTGTATGTGGGAATGAAACATTTGTATGATTCTGTAAATCGTAGTACAGTCATTAAGGAAAGTAATATAGAATATATGGGAATGAAACCGAGGGAAACATATTATTGTATCATTTATTTGACGTAGAACGAAAAATAAAGAAGGAAACGTAATAGAGAATAACTGCTAATTGTAGCTTCCAGTGCGTCATATTCAGAGCAAACAAAGAATAACTTGTTGACACAATAATAAATTAAAACTACTTATCCATATTTAAACATAAAATCTGTATTGACAGATATTTGAAATATTCATATTTGATGCATTAGGCTAAGTGAAATTTTATATTATAAGGCTTTCTTCCAGGGAAACATTTTTACTACTCTCTAATAGAATCTGCTATAATGACCTCACGTTTTAGGATGAAGACTCAATGATGGATGAGGATTCAACCAATTTATCAAATAGTCGGAAGCGAGGGCGTGGTGGCTTCAACCTAGACGAAGAGTTAGACACAGATGACAGCACAACGCTGAGCAGTGTCCTACCCACACCCACCGTTACACCGGCAGCCTCTAGTGGACCAGCAAACAAGAGAGGAGTTAGGAGGAGCTTTTATGCGCCTCTAATGGGAATTCGGGTACCCAAACTTACTATGCAAATTTTTTATGGCCAAAAATCATTTAAAACCTGGGGAGCCTTGAGATGGTAATTTTGGGGGACAGTAACTTTATGTGAGTCATGAGTTTCCAAATTTTGACACTTATGAAAAAGTTAAGCTTAAAGTTTTGAAAAAGGGAAAGTTTTTGTGGTGATGGTGGTGGTGTAGTGGTGTGGTGTTGGTGGGGGGTAGTAGTTTAGGGGTTTGATGGTGGGGGTATGGGGTTTAGGTGGGGGGAGGGTAGTGGTGATGGTGGGGGTATAGTGGTAGTGGGATGGGGGGGAAAATTGTTAGGGGTGATGGGGGTGGTGTTAGTGGTGAGGTGGTGGTAGTGTGGTATGGTGATGGGGGGGTTAGTTGTTATGGGGATGGTGGTGGTAGTAGTGGTAGTGGTGATGGGGGTGGTATAGTGTTGTGGTGAGGGGTGGTAGTGGGATGGTGGTGGTAGTAGTGGTAGTGGTGAGGTGGGGTATAGTTTTAGTGGTGATGGTGGGGGTTTTTAGTGGTATGGTGGTGGTAGTGGTAGGTGGTGTGGTGGTGGTAGTAGTGGTGTGGTGATGGGGGTGGTAGTAGGTTAGTGTGATGGGGGTGGTGTTAGGTGATGGTGGTGGTTAGGGGTAGGGGTGATGTTGGTGGGTAGTAGTTAGTGGTGAGGTGGTGGTGTTAGTGGTGATGGTGGTGGTATAGTGGTAGTGGTGATGGTGGTGGTAGTGTGGTGTGGGATGGTGGTGGAGTAGTGGTAGTGGTGAGGGGGTAGTGTTATGGTGATGGGGGTGAGTAGTGTTGGGGTGATGGTGGTGTAGTATGTTAGGGGTGATGGGGTGGGTAGGTTAGGGGTGTGGGGTGGTAGTAGTTTTAGTGGTGAGGTGGTGGTGTATGTTAGTGGTGATGGTGGTGTAGTGTTAGTGGTGAGGTGGGGTAGTAGTGTTATGGTGAGGGTGGTGGTGTTGTTAGTGGTGATGGTGGGGTGGTTTTAGTGGTGATGGTGGTAGTTTTAAAGTGGTGAGGGTGGTGGGGGTAGTGTTAGTGGTGATGGTGGTGGGGGTAGTGTTAGTGGTGATGGTGGTGGTTTTAGTGTTAGGGTGGTGGGGGTAGTCTTGTGGTGAGGTGGTGGTGGTAGTCTTAGTGGTTGGTGGTGTTGGTAGTGTTAGTGGTGATGGTGGTGGTAGTTTTTTGGGGGGTGGTAGTGTTAGTGGTGATGGTGGTGGTGGTGGAAATGTTAGTGGTAATGGTGGTGGTGGAAATGTTAGGGGGGTAGTTTTTGTGGTGATGGGGTAGTGTTATGGTGGTGGGTGGTATGTTAGTTGTGAAGGTGTTTTTAGTGGTGATGGGGGTAGTAGGTTAGTGGTGATGGTGGTGGGGGTAGTGTTGTCATGGGGGTTTTCGATAGTGGAAAGGGAAAGAATCTCACGTAGGCTGGTGTACGTATAATATATAACGGGAATAGGAAAGCGCCAACACCGACCCGCCTCTCTCTGCTCTCTGTCTTTACTGACCCATAGTGCCTAAGGGGGGGGTGGTTGAAAACCTGCTATGGTCACGCAAATAACATCTGATTCACGCAGAGAGGTTGGTAGTGAGTCACTCTGGTACAATGGTTAGGGGAACGGTTACAGGAACTGGTATACTCTGAGAGTGTTAGGGTGATGGTGGGGGATGTTAGTGGGGATGGTGGGGGTGGAGTGTTTTGTGGGATGGTGGTGGTGGTATGTTGTGGGGATGGTGGTGGTAGTGTTAGTGGTGATGGGGGTGGTAGGGTTTGTGGTGTTAGTGTTAGTGGGGATGGGGGTGGGGGAGGTTAGGGTGGGGGTGGTAGGTTGTGGGATGGGGGGGTGGTATGTTTTTAAAGGTGGGGGTGTGTTAGTGGTGGTGGTGTAGTGTTAGTGGTGATGGTGGGGGTGGGGATGTTATGTAGGTGGGGGGTATGTTAGTGGGGATGGTGGGGGTGGTAGTGTTAGTGGTGATGGTGGTGGTGGTAGAAGTGCTAGTGGTGGTGGTGGTAGTGTTAGTAGTGATGGTTGTGGTAGTATTATGGTAGGTGGTGATGGTAGTGTTAGTGGTGATGGTTGTTGTAGTGTTAGTGGTGATGGTGGTAGAAGTGCTAGTGGTGATGGTGGTAGAAGTGCTAGTGGTGGTGTGGTGGTAGTGTAGTGTGATGGTTGTGGTAGTGTTAGTGGTGATGGTATTGATGATAGTGGTAGTAGTGATGGATGTGGTAGTGTCAGTGGTGATGGTGGTGGTGGTAGTGTTAGTAGTGATGGTTGTGGTAGTGTTGGTGGTGGTGGTAGTGTTAGTACTGATGGTTTGTGTAGTGTTAGTGGAGATGGTAGTGTTAGTGGTGATGGTAGTGTTAGTGGTGATGGTGGTGATGGTAGTGTTAGTAGTGATGGTTGTGGTAGTGTTAGTGGTGATGGTATTGATGATAGTGGTAGTAGTGATGGATGTGGTAGTGTCAGTGGTGATGGTGGTGGTGGTAGTGTTAGTAGTGATGGTTGTGGTAGTGTTGGTGGTGGTGGTAGTGTTAGTACTGATGGTTGTGGTAGTGTTAGTGGAGATGGTGTTGGTGGTAGTGTTAGTAGTGATGGTTGTGGTAGTGTTACTGGTGATTGTAGTGCTAGTAGTGATGGTTGTGGTAGTGCTAGTAGTGATGGTTGTGGTAGTGGTAGTGGTGGTGGTAGTGTTTTTAGTGATAGTTGTGGTAGTGTTACTGGTGATGGTAGTGCTAGTAGTGATGATTGTGGTAGTGTTAGTAGTGATGGTTGTGGTAGTGCTAGTGGTGTTGGTGGTAGAAGTGCTAGTGGTGATGGTAGAAGTGCTATTGGTGATGGTGGTGGTGGTATAGTGTTAGTAGTGATGGTTGTGGTAGTGTTACTGGTGATGGTAGTGCTAGTAGTGATGGTGGTGGTGGTGGTATAGTGTTAGTAGTGATGGTTGTGGTAGTGTTACTGGTGATGGTAGTGCTAGTAGTGATGGTGGTGGTGGTAGTGTTAGTAGTGATGGTTGTGGTAGTGTTAGTGGTGATGGTGGTAGTGATGGTGGTGGTGGTAGTGTTAGTAGTGATGGTTGTGGTAGTGTCAGTGGTGATGGTGGTGGTAGTGTTAGTAGTGATGGTTGTGGTAGTGTCAGTGATGATGTTGGTAGAAGTGCTAGTGGTGATAGTGGTGGTGGTAGTGTTAGTAGTGATGGTTGTGGTAGTGTTAGTGGTGATGGTGGTAGAAATGCTAGTGGTGATGGTGGTAGAAGTGCTACTGGTGTTGGTGGTGGTAGTGTTAGTAGTGATGGTTGTGGTAGTGTTAGTGGTGATTGTGGTAGAAGTGCTAGTGTTGATGGTACAAGTGTTAGTGGCAATGGTGGTAGAAGTGCTTCTACCACCATCACCACTAACACTTCTACCACCATCACCACTAGCACTTCTACCACCATCACCACTAACACTTCTACCACCATCACCACTAACACTTCTACCACCATCACCACTAGCACTTCTACCACCATCACCACTTGCATTTCTACCACCATCACCACTAACACTACCACAACCATCACTACTAACACTGTCCCCCACCACTATCACCACTAGCACTTCTACCACCATCATCACTAACACTTCTACCACCATCATCACTGACACTACCACAACCATCACTACTAACACTACCACCACCACCATCACTACTAACACTACCACCACCACCATCACCACTGACTGCCACAACCATCACTACTAACATTACCCCCACTACCATCACCACTAGCACTTCTACCACCATCACCACTAGCACTTCTACCACCATCACCACTAACACTTCTACTGCCATCACCACTAACACTTGTACCCCATCACCACTAACACTTCTACCACCATCACCACTAACACTTCTACTGCCATCACCACTAGCACTTCTACCGCCATCACCAGTAGCACTTCTACTGCCATCACCACTAGCACTTCTACCACCATCACCACTAACACTTCTACCACCATCACACCAGCACTTCTTCCACCATCACCACTAACACTTCTACTGCCATCAATGCTAACACTTCTACCACTATCACCACTAACACTTCTACTGCTATCACCACTAACACTTCTACCACCATCACCACTAACACTTCTACCACCATCACCACTAACACTTCTACCACCATCACCACTAACACTTCTACCACCATCACCACTAACACTTCTACCACCATCACCACTAACACTTCTACCACCATCACCACTAACACTTCTACCACTATCACCACTAACACTTCTACCACCATCACCACTAATGCTTCTACCACCATCACCACTAACACTTCTACCACCATCACCACTAACACTTCTACACCATCACCACTAACACTTCTACCACCATCACCAATAACACTTCTACCACTATCACCACTAACACTTCTACCACCATCACAACTAACAATTCTACCACCATCACCACTAACACTTCTGCCACCTCACACTAACACTTCTACCACCATCACCACCAGCACTTCTACCACCATCACCATTAACACTTCTACCACCATCACTAGGACTTCTACCACCATCACCACTAGCACTTCTACCACAATCACCACCAACACTACCACCATCACCACTAACACTTCTACCACCATCACCACTAACACTTCTACCACTATCACCACTAGCACTTTACCACAATCCCCACTAACACTACCACCATCATCACTAACACTTCTACCACCATCACTGCCACTATCACAACCAGCACTTCCACCACCATCACCACCAGCACTTCCACCACCATCACCACCAGCACTTCCACCACCATCACCACCAGCACTTCCACCACCATCACCACCAGCACTTCCACCACCATCACCACTAACACTTCTACCACCATCAAAATTAACACTTCTACACCATCACCACACCATAACACATCTACCACTATCTACACTAGCACTTTACCACTATCACCACTAACTAACTCCCCCATCACTGCCACAGCACTTCTACCACCATCACTGCCACTAGCACTTTACCACCATCACCACTAGCACTTCTACCACTATCACCACTA